AACTTTCTAAAATTGACATAAACCAATGCGCACCAAATACTTTAAAACTCACTAATTACCACTAAATGATGAATGCCAACTCAGTAATATACATATTAATGGAAAGCAATGCGCATCAAATACTTTAAAACTTACTTATTGTATTAAATGATATATGCCAACTCTAAAAAAAAAAAAGAAATTCAAACAAGCGCTGGTAAACGGCGGGAGTAACTATGACTCTCTTCAGATAGCCAAATACCTTGTCATCTAATTTTTGAAGCGCATAAGTGGATTAACGAGATTCCCGCTGTCCCTTTTAAAAATTTACTATAAACAAGAACTTGCTAAATTTGACATAAACCAATGCGCACCAAATACTTTAAATCTTTTTATTTGTACTAATGGATAAATGCCAACTCTGCAATATGCACATTATAGGAAAGCAATGCGCACCAAATACTTTAAAACTTTTTATTTGTACTAAATGATAAATGCCAACTCTTGAATATGCATATTATAGGAAACCAATGCGCACCAAATACTTTAAAACTCACTAATTACCACTAAATGATGAATGCCAACTCTGCAATATACATATTATAAGAAAGCAATACGCATCAAATACTTTAAAACTTTTTATTTGTACATAAATGATAAATGCCAACTCTGCAATATACATATTATAAGAAAGCAATACGCACCAAATACTTTAAAACTTTTTATTTGAACTAAATGATAAATTCCAACTCTTGAATATGCATATTATAGGAAACCAATGCGCACCAAATACTTTAAAACTCACTAATTACCACTAAATGATGAATGCCAACTCTGTAATATACATATTATAAGAAAGCAATACGCATCAAATAGTTTAAAACTTTTTATTTGTACATAAATGATAAATGCCAACTCTGCAATATACATATTATAAGAAAGCAATACGCACCAAATACTTTAAAACTTTTTATTTGAACTAAATGATAAATGCCAACTCTTGAATATGCATATTATAGGAAAGCAATGCGCACCAAATATTTTAAAACTTTTTATTTGCACTAAATGATGAATGCCAACTCTGCAATATAAACTATAGGAAAGCAATGCGCAACAAATACTTTAAAACTTTTTATTTGTACTAAATGATGATATATGCCAACTCTGTAATATTATTATGTAAAAGCAATACGCATCAAATGGTCTATAATGAACTTACAAATAAGCAATGCGCACCAAATACTTTAAAACTTTTTATTTGCACTAAATGATGAATGCCAACTCTGCAATATAAACTATAGGAAAGCAATGCGCACCAAATACTTTAAAACTTTTTATTTGTACTAATGGATAAATGCCAACTCTTCAATATATATATTATAAGAAAGCAATGCGCACCAAATACTTTAAAACTCACTAATTACCACTAAATGATAAATGCCAACTCTGCAATATACATATTATAAGAAAGCAATGCGCACCAAATACTTTAAAACTTTTTATTTGTACTAAATGATGATATATGCCAACTCTGTAATATTTTTATGTAAAAGCAATACGCATCAAATGGTCTATAATGAACTTACAAATAAGCAATGCGCACCAAATACTTGAAAACTTTTTATTTGTACTAATTGATGATATATGCCAACTCTGTAATATTTTTATGTAAAAGCAATACGCATCAAATGGTCTATAATGAACTTACAAATAAGCAATGCGCACCAAATACTTGAAAACTTTTTATTTGTACTAAATGATAATATATGCCAACTCTGTAATATTTTTATGTAAAAGCAATGCGCACCAAATACTTTAAAACTCACTAATTACCACTAAATGATAAATGCCAACTCTGCAATATACATATTATAAGAAAGCAATGCGCACCAAATACTTTAAAACTTTTTATTTGTACTAAATGATGATATATGCCAACTCTGTAATATTTTTATGTAAAAGCAATACGCATCAAATGGTCTATAATGAACTTACAAATAAGCAATGCGCACCAAATACTTGAAAACTTTTTATTTGTACTAATTGATGATATATGCCAACTCTGTAATATTTTTATGTAAAAGCAATACGCATCAAATGGTCTATAATGAACTTACAAATAAGCAATGCGCACCAAATACTTGAAAACTTTTTATTTGTACTAAATGATAATATATGCCAACTCTGTAATATTTTTATGTAAAAGCAATACGCATCAAATGGTCTATAATGAACTTACAAATAAGCAATGCGCACCAAATACTTGAAAACTTTTTATTTGTACTAAATGATGATATATGCCAACTCTGTAATATTTTTATGTAAAAGCAATACGCATCAAATGGTCTATAATGAACTTACAAATAAGCAATGCGCACCAAATACTTGAAAACTTTTTATTTGTACTAATTGATGATATATGCCAACTCTGTAATATTTTTATGTAAAAGCAATACGCATCAAATGGTCTATAATGAACTTACAAATAAGCAATGCGCACCAAATACTTTAAAACTTTTTATTTGTACTAAATGATGATATATGCCAACTCTGTAATATTTTTATGTAAAAGCAATACGCATCAAATGGTCTATAAAGAACTTACAAATAAGCAATGCGCACCAAATACTTTAAAACTTTTTATTTGTACTAAATGATGATATATGCCAACTCTGTAATATTTTTATATAAAAGCAATACGCATCAAATGGTCTATAATGAACTTACAAATAAGCAATGCGCACCAAATACTTTAAAACTTTTTATTTGTACTAAATGATGATATATGCCAACTCTGTAATATTTTTATATAAAAGCAATACGCATCAAATGGTCTATAATGAACTTACAAATAAGCAATGCGCACCAAATACTTTATATTTATCATTAGTTCTAAAAGACAAATAACAAGTTTAAAATATAGTATGTAAAAGCAATGCGCACCAATTAGTAGTGAAAAATATATTAATAATTTTTTTAAAAAATTGAAAAAAAAAATTTAATTTTTTTTTCGACCTTTATTGAAATACTATGTATTTAGAAGATTCCTTATATATGAATCAATGTATTTGACCATTAATCGCGATACACTTTTTTTGATGGTTCGGATCCTTGTAAGCACAGCATTGTCACGAGTCGGTGTCTAAGACCGAATGGCTCATATGTGACGAGCGCCTTGGGCGTCTAAGTATATATTTTTTCATTTTGAAATTTTTATATTACTTTAACAACAGAGCATCGACTCACTCGATTCCGAGCGATAGTCAAAAATAATAAACGATATAATGTCTAATGACATTAACAAGACGACTTTTTCAAAGTCTATCGTTGGGTATATATAACCTTATATATATCATATATGAGAGTACGATTTTGAAAGTACCTTGTCGGATTTGTGTCAGTTATGAGGGCGATACAATCTGAAAATATATTGAACGAAATGCCCTTATAAAATAAAAACAAAAAATTTATAAGGAGAGCAGTTTTATATTGATGTGTGTGCGT